ACGGCTGCAGTACAACGATTTTCATCCGTCCTCATCTGGTGAGATCGACAAACGAATCTCTTCATCATGCGCTTTCATTCGAAATGAAGGTCCTCCTAACATAGTTTAAACTGGTACACCTCAGCAATACAGCATCAGCATGTCTCCGGTGACGTGTGTAAAATCTATTTTGCAGGGACTTATGGCTTACTGGATGAGTCCTTACACGGTTTAGACACACTTAGACCATATGAGAAGAAAAGTTGGGTTTCGAGAAATTTCTAGTTTCATAATTGTTGTGATGACTTCCATTTCGAGTGAAAGTGTTGAATGAAGATATTCGAAGGTCGGTTCCAACAGAAAACGACGGCCGATTCCTCTTGACCAGCTGTCGATTGGCTTTACTGGAATATTCATCCCGACGCTGTTTCCGAGGCAATCTTCTTCGATTCTGGTGAAAAGGTGCTAAGCTTTCGTGCGTCATATGACGGACATCCTCAGAGCGAGGTAACATCGTCACAACCAAATTGAAGCTAACGAGTCAAGTCAAACGAGTCGTCCCCGAACCTTCATGGCCGAGAACAGACATTACTTTTGCTGTCATAATAACTTTGAGTCAGATATAAAGTATATATACAGCTTTTTCGGTATTTGCCGATGAGTTTTCTTGACTTGTTAGCTTGAATTTGGTTGTGACGATGCTATCTTGCTCTGATGATGTTCGTCGTACGACGGACGAATGCTCACCACCTTTTCACCGGAAACAGCGTCAACATGGATCGTCCAGTAAAGCCAATCGACAGCTGGTCGAGAGGACTTCGCCGTCGTCTGCTGGTGGAACCGACCTTCGAATCTCTTCACCCAACACTTTCACTCGAAATGGAAGTAAGCTCAACACTTGGACCAATCGCGGTTGCGATATAGACCTCATTCAGTAGAGGGTTCTTACGTCGAAATGTCTATTACAGAATGTGTTGGATGAATAGTTTAATTTATTATTTTTTTAGAATTAGGTGGAATTAATGAGATCAAGAGGTGTAGTTAGCCTAAGCTGCTTAAGGTAATGACGGACTGAGGGTGAATTTTCCAAAAATGATAAAATTAGGCCTCGGGGTGCCAACGAATTTCGCTTAGTCTTGCTTGCCAAAAGGTATTCTCATCCCCCCTGGACTGAACTGCAGGTTTGACCTCGCCTGAACTGGTATGATCTGCACCCTCACCGGGACTCAAGCCCAGGTTGTTGTAGTGCGGCGTATAATTTCGACCTTTTAGCACTACGCCACATCGTCACGAGTGTTAATCAGTCAGAAAGTAGAAATGAATCCTTGTTAAAGCGAATATTGGTAAGGTTGTCGACTTCAACAACAAGAAATGTTCACTTTGGCAACAAGCCCACCATAAAAATTATGTATGGGAGAGGCTTTGCATACTTTGAAATTTACTCCTGTCATGCCACCGACCGGTACTTGCGGCGGTGTAGAGTAGCGGTAACATGTGGAAGTTAAGTGCTTCCATACTCGGGCTAGGATGACATTTGTCGGAGTGAGCTCGAACCCGAAATCCATCCTGCATTGGAAAAGTATTTTAGAGGGGAAGGGCTGAGTTAAGTGTAATGGCCTACTCGTCTCAAAGTAGGAAAATCCACTTTTATTGGTGCATAGGTAGAGTTTCGAGACTACCAGTAGATCAGTCATATGAGATGTATTCACCCTATTTCATTAAGGTACTGAAATACTGGTGGTAGAATTTGCCCACAATGAAATGAGTAGAGCTGACGATTCCATTGAATTTCACAGGGGTTTGCCTTCCCAAAAGTTGTTCTCATCCAGAGTGGACTGTGGCAATGTGATCGAGTCGTTAAAGTGTCATACTCACATGCCTCCGCGTCACGGTCCGACTCCCGTTGGAGGTGTTGATAAGACCGAGGCGAGGTCAAAACTGCAGTCCACTCCAGATGGAATGAGAACAACTTTGGGAAAGCAAGGATATGTGAAATTCAATGGAAACGACAGCTGTACTCATATCATTGTGGGAAAATTCTACTACCAGTCCTTCATCAACTTACACGAAATAGGCTGAATACATCTCATGTAAATCCTCTATTAGTCCGTCATCGCCTTAAGTAAAATAGGGCGACAAATGCTAAAATTCAGGAGCTATTTATAGTCAAAAAATCACTTCTAGTATTATTTGGGCGTTTATTTTAGATGTAAGTCTGCAAAATGCTTTATTTGTAGTTGTACCCTTTCAATACACGTTATCTTCTGGTTCCTATAGAACAGTTAGGATGGTCATCATTTTTGATGAGATAGAACTTTACTAAAATTTATGTTCAGGCACTTTGTATTATTCGGCTCTAGGGCTCAATTTACGCTTGTTTGGCA